CAGCAGGAAGTTTGGCACCATCGTACGATTTGCAAGTTTTAAAGAGCTGAGGTCATTCCCAACTCATCTAAAAATTTGGGGTCAAAATACCAAGGAAAGGTAAAAAGGACAGAATAAATGCCCTTTCGCTCACATTTAGCTAACAATCACAAAAATAAAGGCATTTCTTCCAGGAAGGTCACGACCATGTGTTTGCTTGAACCAGGGTATAAAATCCCTCTCTGACATACTGCACATGTTATGCTGATTTTATTGCATGCTGGGAACTGAACTGAGACCAAACTCAATAAAATCAGGATTTTCATTTGTCTTGCAGCACGTGCAGAGGCTCAAGCAAAGAGGAAAACAGCCCCTTATGTTTCCCCAAAGCTCTAGAAAGCATCCAGGGAATGACTGTACTTGGCAAGTTAATGCTTGGCTCATTCATCCTGGTTTTGGTGGGGTCAGACAGCCTCATTTGTCCATCTCCACCCCCACCCATCTGCCCCATCAACTTTTCCCTCTTGTCCCATTCTACACTGAACATTCCTTAAACCCCAATGCCCTGTGAGCTGCACACTGCTTGATTTCAAGCTGGATCCATGTTTCAAAGTAGCAGCAGTAGTGTAACTGATAGGGCATGACCAAGGCAGCAGCCCCAAGTGCTGCCTTTCTGAGGGCAAGCACAAAAGCACTGCCAGCTCACCGCTCTGCCACAATTAACAAAGCAGGAGCCAGCACTGCCCCAGGTGTTGGCAGCTGCCCCGGGTGCAGACCTGCCCTGATACACCTCTGAGCAGCAGTTAATACCAGTGCCGAGCTGTTCCACAGCACCTTCCATTTCCAGTTGCGAAGGGAATTGGGATACTATCTGGACTAGAGCCTAGACTTGGATCACTTGCAGCTTTTAATGTAGCTTTATAATTATGGCTGCTTTTAAACCACTTTAGACACAGATATGAGCTCAGCTTGAAGAAACAGGGATTTTCTATTACACTAATTTAAGGGTGAAAATACTTGCGTATCATGACCCAAATGACCAGGGGTCCAAATTCTTGTAGGATTCCTGTGTGTCCGCAGCATGGCGCAAGTAGACTTAAAGAAGCTGAGCAATTCCTCAACCCATGACCAAGTGTAAATTCCCAGTTAGGGCCAACTGGAAGCAGTCAGCATTCCAGTGAGACCAAAGACAAATTTGCAATGCAATTAATTCTGTCACTCCCTGGCCAGTGAATTTGAGTCCAAATTTGTGGTAGGTTGAATTCATGTAAAGGGCTGATTCGGTCACAGGATCAGGCACCATCAGCCAAAAATGGCAAAGCATGCTCTGAAGAGCAAGGAAGGAGTTAAAACACTGACATTTTCAAATGCTGGAGAGAACAAAAACCACATCCTTCAGCCAACTGTTTTCACCGCAGGATAGAAGTCAGTGCACAGCTTGATCACTCACCCAAATTTTGTGGCAAGAGTTCCACCCAGTGAGGATCCAATGATCATTCCTACCCCAAAACAAAGGCCAAGCTTCCCTAATGCCTCTGCACGCTGAGGAGGAGGAGTCAGATCTGTAACGACCATCTGGGCACCTACAGAAGGTATGAAAAGAAATAGATGATGAGAAACATTCTACTGAAAAAAACATAACTTCAGATCAGGGAACACGCTCTTTGAGAAGGTCTCTCACTAATGCAAGGGACAGAGCGCTGGCAGGAAGCACTTCTTGCAATACACATCAGCTGAAACACTGGGCCAGATCCTCATGTGAGGGCCACTGGTTGGGAGCCAAACCCAAGAACCTCTTGATCAGAGAGCACAAGTTTTTACTGCTTAAGCTAAAGGACCAAGTGACAAGTCTATTAGCCAAGAGAGGCACAAGAACCTTTTACAAATCAGCTACTCGCAGAATTTACCACCCAATGTTTTAGACCAGTATAATGTAACTCATGTTAGAAAGTAAGTCTTTGTTCATGTCCCCCTCCCCACACTGCTGGTGATGCATGTGCACATTTGCTCCAGCTGGGGGTTTGGTGTGTTGGTTTTTATTAGAAAAAAGTCAAGTAACAGCTGGAGCCAAACAGAGTGAAATGGAGGATAGCGATGGCACTGTAGCTCATGTGCAGTGTGTGTCCAACATGCTTATTTATGCTGAAGAGTAACAAGTTGAGTAGTTTATGGCTACATGTTGCAAAATAAGTTACCCTGGGGAAGCTCCTGATTGAGTGAATGCAGTTGAGAAGCCTGAAATAGCTGCACTTCACTCAAAGCCCCCCCTGCCCCCCAGGTCTATTTTATTGATTATGGTTATTCATTTGAATGAATTAAAAGACACAGTTCTTAACTCCATAATAAAATCAGGGCTTGGAAAGACACATTTAACTACAGCAAGTATAACTAAGTACAGCCTGGGAACTTCTGACTTCCCTTTCAAGCCCATGTGGGGAGAGAAAAAGAATAGACTTGTCCAAATACTCTTTTCCCCTTGACAAGGAGGCTAAGATGAAGCACAGCAGCTCAGGTATCATGAAGGAGTGGGTTGGAGGGGCTACACTCTTTAAAGGATGAGTCATGTAGGCAGGCAGCAGAATAGCTTGTAAGCTTCTACTTTAGAGAGAGCCTAGGTGGGAAAGAAAAAAGAAAAAAGGAAAGGGGAGGGTCATGTCTATGTATCAGTCTGCAGAGGAAGGGGCTTTAGTTGAAGGGGGAGGGAGGGTAAAACTTATTTCCTAGGAGGAAAATGAAAACAAGCAGCTTTAGGAACACAGTGACACACAAAGGTTAGTATTACCTGGAAGCCCATGCATGAATATGGCTGGGATTGTGGGGAGGCAAATCCAGCAAAGGATGACAGCGTTAATGCAGCCCGAGCACCAAACTGGTCAGCAAACCTGGGATAGAAAATTATGCAGCAAATTCAGAAGTGGAACTATTTGGCAGTTATAAAATGAATATGCCCAGCCTGTTATTCCAGCCAACTCTACACATGGACATATACTCCTCTCTCCCTTCCCTTCCCTGAGGAATACTGCTCAGATTTTCAGAAGTGCTCAGCACCCAAAACTGGACTCAGGTTTTCAAAAGGAGTTCACCATGATGGGTGCTGAGGATTTCCAAAACCACGTCTATGACTGTGCATGCTGAGCACTTGAAAAATGTTGCCTTGTGAGAAGCCTGATGCACTGTCTAGCCTAGGATCTACTAGCATCCTATTAGAACATGTTACCCAATGCAATCCTACTATACAAGGACTTTGGCCCAGGTTGCCTGTATAACATCAGAAATCTGCAATATTATGATGTCATAAAATTATGGCATTTTTGGAGCAGTCTCAGGTAGAGGCTGGCTTTTCAGACCTGTGTGACTGTGACTTGCCACTAGAGGGCTGGAGAGCAGAGAGTGGACAGGAGCTAGGACTCTACGCTGGGGGGGGAAGGGAAGGTGGCTTATAGCCAGGAGACCAAGAAACCAGTTTGCAAGCTGGGGTAGGGGAGGAGGTGCTTGCCTACCTCTACAGCCAGCAGGACCCCAGCAAGAGAGAAGTGTGAAAGCAGAGAAACCCTGGAAAACTGAAGTGGGGGAGGGGGTGGGATGGAAATAAAGAGAAAGAAGTGAAAAAAAGATTTTTTTAAAGGACTAAAATCTTGCATGTGTCTCAGTGAATTAGGATTGGGTTAGAGGGGGGAGTGGGGTTAGGGGCATCAAGGGTTGTGCTGGCTGGGAGTCTAGCCTCCATGCCCATGGGTGGATATATGGGAGTCACCCTGGCCAGGGTGGGGAAAGCATGTTTTCCCCAGCTCCAGGGTCCTGCAGCTGTTATGCAGCTCTCCATGCAGTTGAGTCAGTTTCAGCCCAAATCTGCTTCTCTGGGGCTCTGTGCTTGGGCTGAAACTGACAAGGTCACTCCAAGCTGGGAGTTGTGCATCCTGGGATGCTGGAGGAATGAAAGGAAAACATTTGACTTCCCCTGACCATTCAAACAATACCCTGGAATGGCATGGGTAAAATGTTTCTAAGATAAACCTCCTTCTGAGTGGCTTATCTTTTAAATGTTTAGAGAGTACTTATGGTGGTTTCTTCTTTTTCACATGGTGTCAAATATCAACTTCCAGATCTATGAGCCACTGTCTGGTATTATCACTCAATGCGTGGATTCCATCTACTGCATCTGGACATTTGTAAAGATTGCAGCTTTCAATTAACTGCTGTGCTGTTTGTTGGACACCACATTCACACAGGGGGCTGTCCAAGTGTTCATCTTGTGAAGTGTTGTTTTGAGGCATTCATATCCAGATCTCCGCCTGTTCAGCTTAACCCACACTTCTCTGTCAGTGTTGTGCCCCATGAGGTTTGGCGCTGGTATAAAACACTGTTGGAATAGGCCTGACCTTTCCCAGCAGTTGGCCGACCCTGTTGCTGCCCGAAGGTTTGTTTCAGCATCCCCAATCTCTTCCAGGAGCTTGGGGGCTTTGTGTACAAATGGTGTATGACGTTTAAGCCTCCATCTATTCAGGCTTTCAGTTAACGGTTGATGGAGTACGTGATTTTCGTCGTCTCGTCTCTATTGCCAGTTATGATGTTAGGGTCTGTCTTCTTATATCACTGTCTAATGTCCAAGAGTACAGGGAGTACATCTATGTGTGTGTAAATTGTGCAACCTGTTATAAGTCTCAGAGCACTGTTACTACAGTGCAGAGCTTTTTAGTGTGACAACTTCTGAACCCAACAGGAGCACAATATTCTGTTGGGACATATTCTGTTGGACCATCACAAGTACAGTGGTTCTGAGCACTGTAAAGTTGGCACCCCATGTTGTGCTGGCTAAAATAGCTACCTGTGTAGAGACTTTATTGTTGACCTTTTGAATGTGATCTTTCTAAATAAGGGAATGTTTTAAATGCGACTCCTAGGTGGGTTGAAGTATGCTCATGGGGAAGGATGTGGTTGTCTACTCTGATATTCAGCATGCTCTTGGCTTGATGACTGTCCAGGTAGAACACTAGAATTCAGAAGCAGAGAATGAGAGTGAGACTGCCAGGGACAGTCAGGGACAGTACTATCTTATGCTGGGATAATTTACTGAGATTAAACACACCTGTAAACACTGAACATGGGCATAAATTGTGCTTGGTCTGCCCAGCCAGCTGGGGGCCAAACTCCTAAGCCTACTGCCTAGCCACACAGCTGTGCACTTTTAGCACCCATGTGCCCCAGCCAGCCCCTCTGCCACCCAGTGCCACCACCCAGAGCCTGGGGCTGACCCCCCATGCCTTCTACCAGGCTGAGCCTGTTTTGCCTTGGCTCAAATTGCTTCTGTCCCAGGCGCATGTGTAGACACTGTGCCCAGGAGTAATTTACTTTGGCTCAAACTGCTCCAGAATTTATTGCTTTGCATTAATTGCAGGCGTAGTTGCCCCCAATATGTAGGCCGCTGCACTATAGCACTATACGAGAAAAGGTTAAGAGAGCTAGGAGAGCTAGTTAAGAGGTTAAGAGAGCTAGTTGAGAGAAAAGAAGATGAAGTGGAGTGGAGAGGGAGAATATGATAAAAAAATTTCAGATGTTGGGCTGCCATAAAGTAGAGGGAGAAGGACTATTCTCCCCTGCCTTGGGAGCCTGGACACAAAGCGGTGGTTTAAACTGAGATGCTCTAAGCTGCTGATGCTGCTTGATATGTGGGTTTGGGTGAGGCTTGTTTCCTGTGGTGTTGCTGGACTTGCTCCAGAAGTGGTATAGACAAACCTTCAACAAAGAGGTACTAATCTATATCTTGCTGACATCAGCATAAGTCAGGAGCAACTCTGCTGATGTCAGCTGCACTGAGATCATACAAAGCCAGTGTGAATAAGGTCAGAGTCAGGCACGGAAATCCTATGATTCCCATGAGGAGTATCAAATAGCTCTACTTAGATAATACTAAAAAAATGCCATATTACTCTCTTCTTCTGGGTTTCCCCACCCTGCTGACATATATCTAGTTACTCACATTTGTAAATGTTTGCAGGATTAAGGCATTAAATTGCAAGCTCTGTGGGGAAGAGATGCTCCAGCATTTTGTCCTTAGTAAGCCTGCTGCCTGAGTTTAAATAATAATCAAAATTAGAGATAAATGACCTGGCTAACTGTCACAATATTTTTTTAATTATAGACTTATTTTCTATAGCCCAGATGGCTCCTCAAAAACATATTTCCCCAAGATCTTGAACTAGAAATAAAAGTATATTTATTAAAAAAAATCTTATCATACATGCAAATGGAGGGGTTACCTTCCAAAAACAGGACCTCCCAGAAGTTGGAGCACACCAAAAATTGTCTGAAGGTAGCCAAAGTCAACTGAATCCAGACCCAGGCTCTTTGCCAAGTACTAGAAAATGGGAAGACAGCAAAAGTGAAACAAAGTATGTTATGTTTCTGAACAACAAGGTTAATACTAGTTTGCGCAGGACTGTAGTAATAAGTGATCACTTGATTCAGTACACAATAAAGCAAGTGATTGTCCATAGGTGCAGTGTGTAAAGGCCAGGAATAGAGAGGTTAAATGATAGAGATCATAGGCCTCCAGCCCAGCTCATCAACTGATACATGTCAGAGTGACTTCCATTTATAACCACTCCGAATTTGCCTCTTTTTTATATTTGCATTTTGAAACCCCTGGTGGACAAACCACAAGACAAGGGAGCTCTGAACAACTCGGCTATTACTAACTGGGGATGATTTAACTTTTAAATAGCCCACCTGCACCTCAAGTACGTCAGTCTGAGCAGCACCCAAGTGGATCTTGTGGTCAAGTCATCCAGCTACTCTGTTTAATCAAAGCAAGCTGGGTTAAAAGGCAAAACACAACACAAACAAAAACAGCCTCTCTCCTTCCAACCCGGTTACATCCCCAACATTATCTTTCTGGCAGTCAGCGACACAACCTAAAATACCCTGGAAGACCTTATGCCCCAGGGATGGATGATTCAGAGTCAGGCTTTTGCTTTGTAGCATTTTATGTAAACTTCACGTGACATTTGGAACCTCCAAGATCATCACAACAGTGTGTTCTGCTCATATCCATTGTGTACCTGGACACATCACATGCACACACGCCTGAATACTTTAATATATATATAATGTTCAATGTGTGTGTGTGTGCATTTGCATTATGTACACATACACAAACACTTCATAAACAAACCTGAGCATAACATAAACCTTCCTTAATGTAGCACAGACTATATTGTACACCTTCATACACAATAACGTATCTGGTATACGGTACCTGATGCTTCTGAGGTATTTTGTATAGCAGTGCAAAGTGGCTTCCTCCCATAAAACATGCCGGAAGTAAATATAGTGCTGATAAAGGTACCAGATTGACAGTACTAGGGATTCTGTACATAAATATACAATGGACATGAGCAGGACACACTGTTGGGATGTTCTTGGGGGATCCAAAGGTCATGTGAAGTTTACATAAAATGCTCCAAGGAAAAAAAATCAGTGCATCTCTCCCCCTGGCTTTTCAGGGTATTTCAGGTTCTACTGAATTTCAGATTCTGACTGTCAGAAAGATAATGTTGGAGACATGAGCTGGTTGGAAGGAGAGAGGCTGGTTTTGTTTGTAGCCATACACACACTCTGAGTGTTATATATATATATTTTTGTTTGTACACATACACACACTCTGAGTGTTATATATATATACATACATACATACACACACACACACACACAATTTATAAACAAACCTCAGCAAGTGGCTTCCTGGTAGCCCAGACTACTGGCTTTCCTAAAACGTGTACTCCTATACTCTGTTGGTCAAAAATCTTGGGTATTTAAAGGGCACATCTGACCTATTATGTTACAAAGACCACCTAGGAATACTGAGAGAGATTCAAACTTCTGTCTCCCACAGGGTTTTTGGTAGGTTTACTTTGCACATAAGCAGTATTGCCTCTATGCCAATAGGCTCTTTTAACTCCTACTCTCACGGTCCAGGGCAATGATATTGACCTCTCTTTGGTATATCCTAGCCCACCTCTAAGAGACCAGGTAATGCTGCTGGGTTGGCTTATTGCCAGAAGGAGTAGGGCAGACCATCACTGGGGACAAGGAAATGGGAGGGAGCTCCCACAGTAAGACAGGGGAGGTGGAGATGGGGTAGAGGTTGGGGGAAAGGGAGTAGAAGGGCAGGGTTGCTGGAGCATTACAGTTCCCTGCTCCTTCTCCTACAAGGTTTGTAAAGAGAAAATGGAACAAAAGGGGACACATTTTTTATTTGAAATCACTTGTGACTAGACCTTCTCTCTGGCCTCACCACATGCAATCTCCTCTGTGGCCACTGAAAATGCTGCTGCAAGATGGGCATCTTGACTCACTGCTCCTATTAAGTAATAGCATCACTTTGGGCATTTTTACACATGCATGCGTCACAGCGCCGGGTGCTTTGAAAAGCACCCGGCGCTGCGACACATGCAGGTTTAGAAGTGGCAAAATACGCATCAGCATTGAGAAAACAGTGGTGGTACACTTTTGAACTAAAACACCTCAGAGATGCTTTAGTTCAAACGCGCACCACCGCCATTTTCTGCGCACGGACGCGCATTTCATTGACTATACGACTGCATGCAGCACAGGGCAGTTTGCCTCAGTTTGCATTCAGATTAATCAAGTCTGCTCTGAAGCAGTGGATCTCTGGCGTGTTGCTGGAAAAAAAAGTATGTGTATATGAACCCTGCTCACAGTTGCCACTCCTCCCAGCACAGCAAACACAGATCTCCTATCTTTCCCTTCAGTCTCCTTCACAATTCAGCCCCACCATAAAATCTCTGTTCTTATATTGAAATACAGCCTGTTCTCACCCCTATCCAAATGGGTCAGCTGTGAACCCCTGCAGTCTCCTTTTGCTCCATCCCAGAAAGTTTATCACTCACAGAGGAACAAACCCCCTATCAAACTCTTTCCTTTCCCATCTCTCACTACAACTCACCTCTCATGTAAGCAGAACACAAGCACCTAAGAACAGCCAAAGAAGCAGCAAGTTCCAGTTCCTGCTCCTGATGGGCCGATTACAAACTGTCCATACAGCACTAAAACAGCCTGTTACCATTATCCAGTCTTCCCTAGGGCTGCCTGCTCATTGGTTCACCCATCCGGTATTGCAGGTTGCATTTTAAATTTAGAAGAGCCTTGGGGCAGGGACTCTATTTTGAATCTGTATGGCCCATACACATCCAAAATAGAGTCCCTGCCCCAAGGCTCTTCTAAATTTAAAATGCAACCTGCAATAACAGATGGGTGAACCAATGAGCGGGCAGCCCTAGAGAAGACTGGATAATGGTGACAGGCTGTTTTAGTGCTATATGGACAGTTTGTCTAGTCAGTGCTATTGAAATATTAATAATAATAATACCTTTCACAACTGCTGTCCTTCTATCCACCCTGAGTACATGCAGCATCCTGCAGAATGCCTCTCGATTCAATTATAGCTTACTTGCTAAACAAGCTGAGCTCCTCCTCCCCTGGTCCTAGTAAAAGCTGCTTGGACTGAAAGACAGAAGTGGCCAGCTCTGGAAAAGCAGTCAGGAACAGTACTCACTGGAATGATTCCAATCTGCATGAACAGGAAAGTCAGGTCCAGGGCTGTGATCAGGTAGGTGATTCGGATCACCTGCTGCCGTTGGATCATGTTTTCTGGCTTATGCATCTCCAAAGCCTCTTCCCTGAAATTTCTGTTTCTCTCTTCAGAAGTAGGCTCCTTCATTCACGCTGCCCAGGGAATGACGTTTAACACACTGCTCAGGCTGAAATTTGACATGAAAGGGAATGTTCAGCAAAAGTGCAAAAGTCATGTTTGTAGTCTAAGGTTTAACTGTGTGAGAGCTGCTGAGTCATTGTGCTGTGGTTTATTCCCCTTCCCCCATTCACTTGTGTGTTTTGTGTGATCCATTGTTAGAGTATATCAATGATGACCATGTTATTGAATAAAGAATCCCTTTCTTCGTTCCTGTTCTAGAGCTAACCATTAGATCAAGAGACATGTCAGTCCTTGAGATGAAAATAGGTTTGGGAATCCCAAAAGAGCTGTAACTGGACTTTGCACTAAAGTCTATACAGCATATTAGTCTCATCATCTGTACCTCAAAGCTAGGAACAGAAGTTACACACAGGCAAGCTTAAGTGATCAGTAACTAGCTCAATTCTGTAACATAACAAAAGTTCAGTGCACTTAACCACTTTCAAAATGGCCCAAACTGATTTAAGATAAACCTGGTTGGATATAGTATCAGACTTTACTGATTTAGGTCAAACTGATTTATGGAACTTCTGTCCCACAACAGCTCCTGATTCAAGTTAACTCACAGTCCCCCAGCCTCCCGGGCTGCTTTCTGCACTATTGAGCAGTATTATTAGGGTACTGCTCAGTAGCATCGCTAAAAGAGTGTGTGCCGGGGCTACTGCACAGTAACCCTGGTTACTGCACATTGATTTAGTACAGTACTTAATCATACAAGTGCTAAACTTAATGCGCAGTAACTATGGTGCATTAATGAATGTGTAGACGTGCCCATAGAGCTTGTAATTTCACCAACACTGAAGTCAAACTACTGGAATTGCCCCATTTTAAGTTTGTCTTAAATATCACGACATTTCAAAACGGTATGTTTGTGGATTCCTTTTAGTTGCCTTCTTGATTTTGAACCTGCCAAGGGCTCATGTCAAGCTTTTTCTCTAATCCTGAAATTGCTTGTTGAAACTGCATCTTATTTGTTGAAATTGCTTGTTGAAACTGAAAATGTTAACACAGATTTGCAGCCAGCCACCTGATTCAGATGCTGGGGCTCTGAAGTAAAACACCAAATTCTGAGAGATTTGTAACAGACTCCTGAAATTGGTACCTCAGCAAAATACACAACTGGACTTGCAATGCGGGCTCCATAGAGTGGCTTGGATCCTACTCCAACATGTTTGAGATCTGTCGGGAGGGAGAGTCTGAGTTCTGTGGGGCAGGAACTATCTATTTGTTCTGTTATTACTGTAGCAATATAAGTTATGATTTAGAGAGACTCCCTAATAAGAGACTGAAGGAGATAGAAGGATATTTGGAGATAGTCCCTCGGTTAGCAGCACCTAGTTAGTTAGAAAGACTGAAGGCCTGCAGAGGATCATATACTGCTCCACAATAAAACTTGTTAGTTCTTCTTATTCTTTTTATGCCTGCATTTATTGAATCTGGGGATCACTACAATTACCACAGTTGAACTCTGGTGCCTGACTGAGAAACTCCTGGTTGTTTGCAAAATGCTTGAGGTTTCATGTTACACAAGGAGGTATTACCCTCCTCAGAGATTTCATTGCAATAGCATATTTTGCAAATGGACTCCCAGCATGAGAAGCTGAAAGCAATATAAAGTACTAACATGATTATCGACTGGTATTATAACAAGCTCTGTGTTCAAGATGATCCAAAGCCCTACAAGTCAGGGGGGGCCACTAGTTGCTAATGAAGAGGGATGGGTTTACTTACAAACTGCCTTCATTTAGTGGAGGATCATTGCAAAACGTTCAGTTCATCTGAGCACAAAACAATAGATTCTCCTGCAGCTGGTGTTCCTGGAGGAGTACAGCACACCCAACTTCCTGCTTTACCCTGGGCAGGGAGACTGTACAAGTTATCAGCACTAATTATAAGACCAAAACTCACAACAAAACTCTTGTTATACAAGTTTTGAGACAAGTAAGAGGCTCAGGACAGACAAATGAAATACAAATTGTTTCCTGCTTCCAGGAAAAACTGCTGTCCTGCAATGGAAAAGCCTTCAGTGTTTGGATTGATCAGTAAATCTAAAACAAAACAGCTCCCTCAAAACAAACAAAGAATATGATGCTTGCATACACAGCACCTGACTCAGCCAGCGTCTGCCGCAGTTGTACCTCACACTGCCCTGCAACCAGAGTGCAAATGCATTCTCTTTATGTGCAGCTTGGATTTACCTTAAAACCCGTGCTTCTTGAATGTTTCCTGGACCATCATAGCTACAACATCACTCCAAAGCTGACGGCTCATGATGCATACCGGGGAACTGAAAGAGGAGATGTCAGATTTTATGGCTAGTCTTTGAATCAATATATCTGAGAGGCAGGACTCTGAAAAGCTGGTACTCTAAAGCTAAGCTGTATGGCCCAAGTTTTCAAGAAACGGTTAACCTTGCCAGGCCATTGCTCTATGTGGCGTATTCCTTTTTGAAGTTACAAAGCAAAAGGTACTGTACACTGCTGCTGGTCAGTGGGCACATCTACACATGCAATGAATGCCCAGAAAGCTTACTGCACAGTGAAATACTGCACAGTAAGCTTTCCCTGGAAGGGCATCTACACATGCTCCCGCTAGGAGAAATTTGTGTCCCAGGGAAGCAGGGCAAGGGGCTGGAAAAGAGTCCCCTCCCCTGTAGCTCTTTCCCAGCCCCCTGCCCCAACTGGCCAGTGCAGCAGCTAGCCGTGAGCCCCTAACTAGGCAGGGATTCCCTGCTCAGCCAGGGGCAGCCAGGTGCTGTGACTAATTTACTGCTCATTAGCTTCTGAGCACAGTTACTTGGTGATGCTTTACTGTGCAGTAGACTAATCTAGACATGTAGACACACCCAGTGCTGTTGAACCCTTCCTCCAGAAAGCAGCAGGCCTGTGTCATGTGAGATTCAGTCTTTTGAGACATTGCTTATTGGGACCCCCAAGAATGGACTGGGATCTTCCCTGACAAGTCCCATGTTCTGCACATAAGGCAGTTCATTGTGAATCTGCCTGCTTTCCCCAATGCAAAGTCTCCAGTCCTAAGAGGATGATGCAATGGGACCTGTGACTCTCAAAGGACATGAGACTTAATGCAGAACATCCCCACTGGCTTACCAAGGAATGAGGAGCATCTTGCCAAGTTCTTTACAAACTAAAGGACCTTTAACTCACGGAGAGAATTACCCTAGTTACTCGAATTCAAGATGAAGTTTTTTTCCCCATTCAGCATGGGGAGAAAAGCCCTTTGTCTTGGATTTGAGTACAAGCTGGGGGAGGGATAGAGGGGGCAGGTGGCTGCTGCAGCTCTGACTCCAACCCTGAGCCCAGGTTGTGGCCAGAGTCACCCATCTACCTCTTTTCTCTACCTGCCTACTCCCCACAGCTTCTGCCCTCTCACCTGCTTAACTGTCAGGCACAGCTCTCGCTCTGGCTCCTACCCTGTTCCCAGACATGGAGCACATGGAAACTCTGGCCTCTGCCCAACCATTCAAGGAAGGCACTGGCAGCCCCAGTGGTAATGCGTAGTGGGTGCACAGGGGAGAACAAGTGGTAGGGGGCAAGGGGATAGGGGACAACCTAACCCCCCAGCTGCCTGCCTCCTTCTGTACAGTGGTAGGGAAAACAAGTTTAAGGCAACCTTCTGATAATTAGATTCTATGCATCGAAAATTATATACACACACACACACACACACATATATGTATATATTTATATATATAAATAGAATCTAATTACTACAGATTTAATTATCTTAAATTCAAGTTGTCTTGGATTCAGATAAATACAGTACAAAGGAGATAGACATCTCCACAATCATATGCCTTCGTTATAGACAGAGACCTTAGCATCCTGCCAGTTGAACACAACCATTTAATTCTGGGTAAAGTTCAAGAGTGACATACACATAGTTGATGAGATGATACAGCTGCCAGGATTTTTATATTCAGGAATCTATCTAATTTTCACTTCCTTATTCTCTCTTGCACAGGCTATTCAGAATTAAGCTAGAATCAGATTTTACTTAAAACAAGACACCTAGTTGTGGAGTGGAAGGTGGAGTTAACATAGGGATGTGGTATTCAGACACACAGAGCTGGCAGTCAGGAGGATGGAGTTAAGCCTTCGCTGAGGTTTAGCCTTCCTCTTTCTTTACTCACTATAGAAATTGTATTATAGCTGCACATAGAGTGGCAGATAAATATTGTGATTTTAATCCAGTTTGAGAGCCTGGATAAATCAATAAAAAGATTCCCAGTGACTTCCACAAGCTTTGAGTAGGAGCCTAAAGTCTTCTGTTATGTCAGAGAGCTTTTCTTCAGGCCTTGCAGGTATTTATGTTCTGCACCCTGCCTTTACAGGTGCAACAACAGCACTGCTGGTACTGCACTCTTTACGCTCTGAGAGACAGTCCTCCTTGGCACCTGGCTCAGTCCATCTGAGGACAAGATATAACATTTCTGCCTCCCCCCTTTCCCAAAAAGAGCCTTGTTTTTATCAAAGCTGTTGAAAAATGGAAAAAGCCAAATTCAGTGGAAAACATTGAAAAGAAAATTTTGAAGCATTTCAAATGAATCCATTTTTTTATTTCCATGGATTTCCCTCCATAATCTTTTAATAATAATAGAGACTTTTGTATGCTGATGGCAGTTTTTGGAGAAATTAAAACTTCCTGTAACCCTTATGCTTTCAAAAAACAACAACAACAACCACCTTTGAAAAATATGTTTGGGCCTGAAAATCTTTCATGAACATTATTAGAGACCATTTTTCAAGCATAGAAGTCTAGCTTGAGAAATGTCAATGACTTTTTTTTTTAAAGGGGTATCTTTTGGTATATCACTTCCCTATAAGTGAGAAAAGCTCAACAGTAAATAAAAACATACAAGATGAGTGAAGAATTTCCAAATATAAAGGTTTATAATGCATGTCCCAACAGCAATACTAAAAATATGGGGTAAATATCACTAGCCTAGATGCTGAACCTCAGTTATGCTGTGCCACTGGCCTAATCCTCAATTATGCGGAGGTGTGTTATGTAGCTCTTCCAATAGAAAGAGGCCTCAAACCATCCTCTGAAAACTCTACATGCACAGAGGGCCTCTATGAATGACCCAATGTTGTTTTAGGGTCTCCAGTGGTGTGGGCACGATCAAAGTATGTGGCTATTTTGTTCCCTAAGCAACCTTGGGAAGCAAACTAAGCTAAAGCAGTCCTGAGGCTAAATTAGAATCATCCTGAAACCTCTCAAGAAAGCCCCTGCATGGTCTCAAAATACAGGAAACAAAGAGTTGGATTCAAGCTCCCCTGGACTGGTCCCTGTCCTAGATTTAGGAACAGAGTGAGAGATAGTCTCATCTAAAAGGGCTGCCCAGAGGAAGGGTTTCTGAGTTTGGCCCTGCATGCTTACTTGCTTACTTTTTTTGGTCTCAACTGAGAGGTGTAGGAGTGGACCTAGAAACGGAGTGATTATCGTATGACTCTCTGGTAATGCATATGAAACTAGTATGGGGATATCAGGCTAATTCCCAGGAGGTATAATCCCCAACACAAAATGGGTGCTCTGGACTTGTGCTAGAGGTCACTCCCAGTCCCTCAGCTATAAGTGGTAGCTGGTCATTTAGGCCAAGGAAGGCTGGATGTGAAATTGCATAACCCTTGTTGGCAGTATCACAAGAGCAGGCATGATGCCAAGGTGACCAACGTCACTAACAACCTTTTCTTTCCTGTACAATATAGCAGTGAGTCAGAGGTTTGTCTGAGAAAATTTATTTGGCCAAAGCTTGAGAGATCAGAAATCCCTTTGAGTTAAATGCTAGTCTCACTTACGTTGGTGTAAATTTCCACTGCGGGGGGAAAAACACAATTCAAAACGGAAAGCTCATTCACTCTTCTCAAAACCATTGTTGTAGTAACAATGATCAATAGGCATCAGGGAAGCATTGCAGTTTTATCCCAAAGCACCAAGAAGATTCATTAGCTGTATACTAACCAACTCAGGACAAGGTGTAATAACTGATTAGACACATATTTTAAAAAATAGTAATAATAATAAAAAAAACAAGAATATTTTTAGGGGGTTATGGAGAAGCAAAAGACAAGTGATTAGACTCTTGCCTTGTCACTCTGCTGACTGCCATCTCTGATATTCATTGCTAAAATTATTCTGTTTTTTGCTGTACTATTAGGGATCAACTTCGCTGCCTAGCACAGCTTCTGGGATGCGTTTTTACCTCTTGATTTAGAATTTAGAGTGGGAAAACAGGACATCTTCAAAGCAAGTATTTTTACAGCTTAGTGGATCCTGTCCTCCCTTAGGCCAAATTTCAGCTTAAGTCACTAGAAGTTACAATCAGGGGTTGCTTCTACATGAGAAGTTAAACGTGCAGTAGATTAATTTTACTCTGCATTAGTACGTCATGGCAAAAGCTGTGCTAAGGCGCAGTAGAATTAATCTACTATGCATTAGCATCACAAAAAACCCATGCACCAGCACTACTATGCAGTAGCACTGGTTACTGCGTATTCAGTTAAGTACCTGTTATTACAGATACTAAACTGAATGTGCAGTAACCACAGCATGTTAATGAATATGTAGATGCGCCCAGGGTCAGATGTAAAAGGAGGGAGGGCCTGGTAGGGGTGGGGGAGAGAAGGAGGATGGATATCGAATAATGCCAGCACTTGGAAATGTTAGTTTAAAAAGCAGTTGTTTCCTTAGCCTTTTTTTTAAGTAAGTGCAAGGAAAAAACATAGCTTCCTCTTTTCATCTTTATTTTTTTATATTTTGAAAAGGAAACCTGCACACTTGTAGAACTACTTGGAACTCTCTCTAGCCCCACTGAGCACTTTCTTGGTGAAATTTACCTGCCTGCAGAAAGCCAGAACAAGGCATATGCACCACTTTCAGCCTTACCATAAGGGTTAAGAGAGATTAAAATGAAGAGTTGTTGCATGAGAATGAACATCATCCCTCAAGAAAATAACACAAATAACATTCAAAACACTAGAGCCTCAAATCCAGGACCAGCTTACCCTGATTCTTCTTTTCAGCTATTCAAAAAACAATGAGCCAAATTTAGCTTAGCTCTTATATAAGCTGGTGGAGGGTCAAGTGTACCTGCCCACAAAAGCATCTTCACCCCTTGTCCCTCCACCAAAGATGCAAGGAATCTGCCAGAAGAGAAGCATAGAAATGTAGAGGAACAGTATTCCACAATTCAGACTAACTGGAGATAGCAAATAATTGCCAGGTCCAGGCATTGTATTTGACTGGAATATACATATGATGGCTT